CAAAGGCGACATCTCGTGCGTTTCCGCCGACCGATGGTGATAGTTGAGTATGAGCACCGTGCTCACCACACTCGAGGCCACCATGAACATGATGCAGTTAAAGTATGTGCCTGGAGAGAACACCGGGGGAGGGAGAGAACACACATTAGACACGGCTACTGGTCAGGTGAACGGTGGTAGCACTCCTACATCGAGTATCGCCCATCAACAACAACAACTAATTTGGTGTTTGTATTACTTAAAAGACTTGTGACTTACTGACTGTATGGAAAAGGGATAAAATACTTATATTACGTCTGCAAAGTTATACAAGATATATAAAATGATGTAAAATCTAATATAAAACTAAATTTAAGTGCAACCTACTGTGAGTGTTTTCTGAGCTGTTAAGATTTGTGCAGAAACTAATTTTACGTTTAATTATAAAGGAATGAGAGAAGAAGAAGACAATTAGGATCTAAAAAATTGGTCTACGAGGTTTGGTGGTGGTGGAGGTGGTGGAGGAGGGTGATGAAAGAGAGTGTTGTTTAACTGCTCCATCTTCCCTCAGTTACATGGTGAGGTGGGAGGTGTTTATATAGATGCCAGTGATCACCTTACTCTCGTCGTCACAGACCCACAAGTATACAACAAACTCGGTAGAGGGTTTTAATGAATCTCGGTTTCATCAGAACAAATTAATCCACGAAGGAAGAAAAAAATCTATATAAAACAAAGAATAAATCTATTTCATTACTACAGAGGAATTTTTATCATTTGAAGTATAATAGAAGAAGTGGATTATCATCTTATTGACCCAAAGAAGGTATTAATCTTTCTCCTATTGCCAAAAAATAATTCCAATATCACTAAAAAAACGAAGAAATAGATTCATCATAATTTTATACAGCGAAACCTTAAAGAAATATTTGTCTTATTGTCTTACTGATACAAATAAAATTATTATTTCTATCTTATTAACAAACAAAAATAGTAATTATTATCTTGAACAAACAAAGCAAAAAAACCCACCCTCAATTATCTTTAAAAAAACCCACTCAGTTACTCCAACCAATTTTGTCTTATTTTGGGTCTGGACATTATCACCTCCACCATAAATGAGTAAAGAAGGGAGATAGGGAGAGAGAGATAAAATGGAAAAGGGATGAGGAGGAGGAGGAGAATAGTCAAGTTAAAAAAGTATACACAATAAACTGCTTAGTATGAAACACAAGGTATCAACTAGGCAGACACTAAGTAATGCTAAACTATACAACTTTGTAATCCTAAATATTCAAAATAGTAAAAAAAAAAGAAGCCATATGTAATTTAACAAGAGACAAATATAAAAATCCTTATGTATATTAATTTTTGCTTTCCTTTTGTTTTCTTTTCTGAATGAACTGGGCTGCGAGTACTCGATGTGGGCGCTTTTTGAAATCATGCAAAACATTCAGCAAAATTTTTTTACAACACGCCAAAGAGAAATCTGGTCATGCACTACCTTAACACACAGGGGTGGTATGGGTGAGGGGGGGGTGGTGAGGGTGTGAGGGGTGAAGATGAGGGGATGAAAGTGTGTGAGGGTGTGAGGGAATGAGTGTGAAGGTGTGTGAGGGGAGTGTGTGTGTGTGAGGGAATGAATGTCAGGGTGTGTTGGGTATGTGTGAGTGTGAGAATGAGGCGTGTGTGGGGTGTAAGTGGGTGGGTGGGTGAGGGTGTGAAGGGTGAATGTAGTGTGAAGGTGTTTGTGAGGGTGTGTGGGGTGTTAACGATATGAGGCTGTGTATGTGAAGGTTGTGTGTGTGTGTGTGTGTGTGTGTGTGTGTGTGTGTGTGTGTGTGTAGAGTAAAGTGAAGGGTGTGGGTGAATATGAAGACATGAGGGTGAATGCAAGGGTGTAAGGGTATGAGGATGTATAAGTGAGATGAGGGATTGAGAGAAGGAAGGAAGGAAGGAAGGAAGGAAGGAAGGAAGGAAGGAAGGAAGGAAGGAAGGAAGGAAGGAAGGAAGGAAGGTTGTCTAGTGATTGCCAACCATCTCGTGATGCATTAATGAGAAAAGGAGGAGGAAGAGGAGGAGTAGGATGAGGAAAAGAAGCCGGAGAAGAAGATGGAGGAAGATAGGAAGAGTAAGAGGAGGAATAAAAGGAGGAAGGGGGAATAAATATAATGGATGGCTGGATGGAAAGGAGGGAGATAGAATGATGGAAAGAATGAGAGAGAAACACGAGGAGAAGAGAAGATACACGAATAGGAAATAGAAGAGAGAGATAAGGAAAAGTGGATAGAAAACGTTGATAAAAGTGGATAGAAAAGGGGGAAGAAGATCGAAGAATCGAAGAAGAAGAAAGGAAATTGATAGTCAGTAAATAAAAAAATGGCGAAGAAGAAGAAGAAACGAAGAAAAGGAAGAAGAATTAGAAGAAATGAAATAAATAAAGAAAAATAAGATGAAAGCGAAATAGGGAAACAATAAACAGTAATTTACGATATAAAAAAATTATAATATCTTAAGAAAAACTGAGAATAGGAGAAAAATATGATGAAGTGAAGAATAAGAGAGAATGGTGATGATAAAGAGGTGATAGTCATGATAGGGAGGTGATGGTGATGATAGGGAGGTGATGGTGATGATAGGGAGGTAATGGTGATGATACAGAGGTGATGGTGATGATAGGGAGGTGATGGTGATGATAGGGAGGTGATGAGGTGATGGTGATGATAGGGAGGTGGTGATGATGAGAGGTGATGGTGGTGATAGGGTGATAGTAATGATAGGGAGGTGATGGTGATGATGGGAGGATATGGGAGGTGATGGTGATGATAGGGAGATATGATAGGAGTATGGTGATGATAGGGAGGTAATGGTGATGATAGGGGAGGTGATGCTGGTGATAGGGAGGTGATGGTGATGATGGGGAGGTAATGGTGACGATGAGAGGTGATGGTGATAGGGAGGTGATGGTGGTGATAGGGAGGGATGGTGATGATAGGGAGGTGATGGTGATGATAGGGAGGTGATGGGATGATAGGGAGGTGATAGTGATGATAGGGGAGGTGATGGTGATGATAGGGAGGTGTGGTGATGATAGGGAGGTGATGGGTGAGGTGATAGGGAGGTGATGGTGATGATAGGGAGGTGATGATGATAGGGAGGTGATGGTGATGATGGGAGGTGATGATGATAGGGAGGTGATGGGTGATGATAGGGAGGTGATAGTGATGATAGGGAGGTGATGGTGATGATAGGGAGGTGATAGTGATGATAGGTGAGTGATGGTGATGATGGTGAGGTGATAGGGAGGTGATAGTGATGATAGGAGGTAATGGTGATGATACAGAGGTGATAGTGATGATAGGAAGTGATGGTGGGATTGATAGTGATGATAGGGAGGTGATGGTGATGATAGGGTGGTGATAGAGGTGATGGTGATGATGAGGTGATGGTGATGATAGGGAGGTGGTAATGATAGGGAGGTGATGGTGATGATGATGTGATAGGTAATGGGTGGATAGGGAGGTAATTGATGATGAGTGATGGAGGTGATGGTGATTGATAGGGAGGTGATGGTAATGATGGAGGTGATGGTGAGATAGGGAGGTGATAGTAATGATGAGGTGAGTGTGATGGGTGATGATAGGGAGGTGATAGTAATGATAGGGAGGTGATGGTGATGATAGGGAGGTGATGGTGATGATACAGAGGTAATAGTGATGATAGGGAGGTGATGGTGATGATAGGGAGGTGATAGTTGTGATAGGGAGGTGATAGTTGTGATAGGGAGGTGCTAGTAGTGATAGGGAGGTGATAGTGATGGTAATGAGGTGATAGTAGTGATACGGAGGTGATAGTGGTGATAGGGAGGTGATAGGGAGGTGATAGTGATGAGAGGGAGGTGATATTGGTGATGAAGAGGTGATAGCGGTGATAGGGAGGTGATAGCGGTGATAGGGAGGTGATAGGGAGGTGATAGTGATGGTTCGAGGTGATAAGAGAGATCTCAGATACACACTTCTAAAAGGTACCAACAAACTCTAATAGAAGCAGATTATGTTTAATAAAAGCTACTTAAAAATAGTTAACTACTCACAACTACTATATTTAAGTTCTTATAATAATGTTTTTTTTTTTTGAGGGGTGGGTGGTCATGCATTATTATTTTGTTTGGTTAAAAGAGATGTCAAAGCTATATAAAAAATGTATGAAGGGCGTATATAGTTATCAACAATTATACCACCGGATAGATATGCAAAATCATCATTTCAACCGTTACCATCAGCATATATGTGAACAGAGAACATATATATAACACCAATGAACAAGTAAGATGCCCCAGAGAATAACAAAATGAACCCAGAAAAAAATGAACAAAGATTTTTTTTATATATATATATTTTTTGTTAAGTAGTGAGGTCGTTGGAGCCTTCATACATTACATAATGTTTTTGCATACCACACGAGGGGGGTGCCACAGTATGGAATGCAAATTAATTTATAGATGGGATTTCCATTTTTTTCTTCAAAGTTTGAGTTTATAGTTTATTTACAAGGTTGCCAACCTGTACACTTGTAATCAGTGTTTGGGATTAGATATATACAGTTATATGGAGTACATTTGTTGTATAATTCTCACTCTGAGGAATCTTACAGATTTTTAGAGACGTTTATAAATGTTTATATGAGCTTAGTCCGTCGATACTTGGATGCCGAGGGAGAGGAGTGTCTGACTTAGGGAAGCTCACTAAAAACTTCCCAAATTAATGAAATAAAACGTTTGATTTTTTTTTTTATAAAACTCTGTTACGTCCAATGGGGAAAAATATTTAAAATGGGTAAAATTAAAAACAGCGTATCTTAACGTGTGGTTGCGGTTACCAAGGATAGTTTTGGGTGAGTTAAGGTTTAAGTTGGTGTTGTTAGATGTGTTGTTTAAGAGAGATTACAATTGTATGGTTATTGTCATGATGAAGCTGAAAAGATAGAATTGGAATTAGTTAGTTTAGTATTTAGACATGTGGTTAATTAATAATGAGTTAGCGATTTTAAATATATATATCATATAAATATATAAGAGATCTGACGTACAGTGACGGTCAGAGTATAAGTTTAGTCCTTGGGGTTAATATCA